ACAGGAGGTTAGGCATTCTAAGTCACAGGATGAGACAGGAGGTCGGCACAAGATACAGGTCATAAAGAACCTTGCTGATGAAACAGGTTGCAGGAAAGAAGCTGGCTAAAACCCACCAAAACCAAGATGGCAACAAAAGTGACCTCCGGTCATCCTCACCGCTACACTCCCACCAGCGCCATGACAGTTTACAAATGCCATGGCAACATCAGGAAATTATCCTATATGGTCTAAAAAGGAGAGGCATGAATAATCCATCCCTTGTTTAGCATATCACCAAGAAATAACCATAAAAATGGGCAACCAGCAGGCTTTGGGGCTGCTCTGTCTGTGGAGTAGCCATCCTTTTATTCCCCCACTTAATAAGCTTGCTTTCACTTTATGGACTCACCCTGAATTATTTCTTGCCCAAGATCCAAGAGCCTTCTCTTGGGGCCTGGATTGGGACCCCTGTCCAGTAACACTAAGATCAAGTCATAACTTACTGATCTGGAATTGTTCATGTGAGGAGATTTGGAGGGATAATTCAAAGCACTTAGCAACAGAGAGCTCAAGAAACAGTAGATATCAGTTTTTTAAATTACAATAAAATATTCCAGGCAGGGGCTGTTACTGCTCTGGTAGAGACAGATGCATCCAATGCTGAAGGGGGAAGCAGCAAGCCACAGTCAGGAGAATGGAAGGGACAGGGGGAGGGAAAGAGGCTCTCCCAGGATGGGGAAGAGAAAGATGGAGCACAGCAGCTGCTCAGTTGCTCCTTGAAGGACCCCATCCTGGGAACCGAAGGCAGCTGTTGTCAGCCCCCAGGAGGGCTGCAGGCCAGAGCCCAGAATACACACGGGGCTGCCTGGGGCAGTCTAATCCCACGGAGGGTTTTAACGCTAATGTTGCAGAGCCCACGTGTCTTCCCACCGTGCCCACTGCCATCCACACAACACTCAACACAGAACGAAAGGGTCAAAAGTCGCTTTTGGAGCTTTGCATTTGCACATGGGTGTTTCCAAGTCAGGTGTTAATGCCTGGGGGACTGCCAAAACATTGTTTCTGAAATTATTTTCTAGACCCTTTAAATTAAATTCAGCAGTATAGACATAGTGACGATAAACATTTTTATAGTAGACTTTCACACAAGACAAAGATCAAAAGCATGTGTAATTGATGATAAAAGGAAGTGTTTCAAGTGATAATAAAAAGTTACTCTCAAGTATATCTTGGTGTTGATTTTATTTTTAATAGTTCGCCTATGAGACTCTGACTTTGTGCATATATCAAAACAGAGCTAATATTGGAAACCTCTAACTTCACAGTAGAGGCTCTTCATGCCCAAAGCACCTTGATGCCCAAGCCATGATGCACTCCTTCTGTCGCTCCATCCCTTTTCTGAAGGCTTAGATTTGCAGAAGTTATCCTGAGAGTCCTTGGCACTGCGCTTATAATTAGGAATGTGAACCACGTGAACTCTTACACTTATTATGAGGTGCAGTATCAACAGCCCCCAGTGGGAATTACGACATTTCTCATTTGTAGTATACAATAGCAAGTAATTAGGCTTTTTCTGTGAAAATAAACTGCTTTTAATATTAAAGCAGTTTAATTAATTAATGTATTATTAGCTGGGTGCGGTGGCTCACGCCTGTAATCCCAGCACTTTGGGAGGCCGAAGCAGGTGGATCACAAGGTCAGGAGTTCAAGACCAGCCTGGCCAAGATGGTGAAACCCCATCTCAACTAAAAATAGAAGAAATTAGCTGGGCATGGTGGCAGGTGCCTGTAATCCCAACTACTCAGGAGGCTGAGGCAGGAGAATCGCTTGAACCCAAGAGGCCGAGGTTGCAGTGAGCTGAGACCACGCCATCACACTTCAGCCTGGGCGACAGAGCTAGACTCCGTCTCAAAAATAAATAAATGTATTATTAAACCAATAATGCATTAACATTTACTAATTACTAATTTAAGCAAAGTAAAACCTATTTCAGAGTAAGGGAAAAGCATGTAGAAACACAGTCATTATTATTAACTGCTGATAAACAAGCCTTACTATAATCCTAGTTTCCCCATTCTATCTTAAAGGGAAATCTCAAAGTCTTTCTTTCATAAACAAAACTTCGTAATTTGAAAGAGCCCAGGTTTTGTAACTATCGTGTTCCTTAAAATTAAACTACAGTTTTCACTTTTCTTAAAGGGAAAGGCTTTCAAAACTTTCTCACAGAGAGAAAGCGTTGATTTTCCTCTGAGCTCCTCCCATGAGCTGTCTTGGTCTCTGCCAACTCGGTTCCATCTATATTCTGCGAAACTTCATCCCTAGCTACACCTCAGCTCCATGAGCATTCATCGCACAATAACTTAGGAACCCCAAGCATTTGCCATAAATGAGGCTGTTTACCGATCTATTTTTACGAGGACTACTGAAATACGCTGAACCCTGGCCGGGGCGGGTGTTGAAAGGATTGAAGGTACACTTCTCCCTAGCACCATCAGTCATTGTTCAGATATTTAAATTTCACCAGCAGAATCAATGGCCTGCTGGGGCATTGTCACTTACACGGAGCAGGGCCATCTGTCGCAGCACTGGAATTTTCAGGCATGTTAGATGCAGGACAGCGTTGCAGGGTCTCTTTCTTTCTTTCTTTGTGAATTTCAGGATGAAGTCCTCCAATGGGGCTTCATGACTGACCAAGGTTTGAAATTGATAATGTTCCCAGAAGGGGACTTTCTGCAGAGGCTGCATTCACAGCAATTAGACGATCATCTGGTGTAAAACCTGCCTGGAGAGCGAGGGGCACAGAATCCCTGAGCTCAGATGGAGCGATGGAAGAGAAATCCAGATCTCTGTTCTAGAGGCAGAGTTTTTCACTTTTCCCTAGGGGGTCATCTCGGCAGCCCCCCTTCTGAGCTACAACATAGGGAAATCTCACTGCCGATATGCTAATCACAGAAATGCACTGGTACTCCCTGAATCCAACTTCCGTTATTAAAACTATGAGGCTTTCGTGCTTGGCTCTGTTCACCCCTAGGGTGACCAGCTGTCTCACTCCTCAGCCCAAATCCAGGGGATTCATTGTCTAGGAATAACTTCTCCCACCCTGGAATTCTCTGATTTACTCTTCCCTAGGTCCACTGGTCTTGACTAAAATGTGAGATGTCCCTAACTTAAAGTTTTGCCTTGTAAGATGTAGTCGAGGAAATAATATTATGAGGCTGATCTATTTCTCTAGCGGCCAAAGACAGAGAAGTAAAAAGGAAAAGCTGGAGTCCGAATGCACGGCTGCATGTTCAAGGTTCCAGGTCAAGTCCTTGGAACTCCAGCCCCTCCAGCCCCTTCAGACTCACCAAACCCTCCAGCTCCACCAGCCCCT